GCTGGGCATGGTGGTGAGCACCTGTAGTCCCTCAGGAGGCTGAGGTGGAAGGATCACTTGAGCCCCAGGAGCAAGGGCTGCAGTGAGCTGAAATCACACCATTGTATTCCAACCTGGGCAACAGGTGGGATCCTGTTTCAAAATAATGATAATAAAAATAATGAAATAATAATGCTAAGCAACACACTCTTAAGCAATGAATCAAAGAAGAAATCACAAACGATATTAGAAAATATCTTGGGACAAGTGAAAATGAAAACACAACTATTGAAAATTTTGGAATATAGCAAAAAAAAAAAAAAAAAAAAAAAACAGTGCTGAGAGGAAAATGTATGACTGTAAGAGCTTATGTCCAAAACAATGAAAGACTCCAAATCAAAAACCTAACTGTACATCATAAGTAAGTAGAAAAGGAAAATCAAATTAAACCCAAAGTTACCAGGAAAAAATAAAGATTGAAGCAGAGATAAATAAATTAGAGAACAGAAAAGCAACAGAGAAAATCAACAGAACTATGAACTAGTTCTTTAAAAAGATCAACAAAAATGATAAATATTTAGCAATGATAAACATTTCTGAGTAAGAAAAAAAGAGAGAAGATTTATTCCTGGAAACATATAACCTACCAAAAGGTAGTAATGAAGAAACAGAAAATATAAACAGACCTATAACTAGTAAGAAGACTGAATCCGTAATAAAAATCTCCTAACAAAGAAAAGCCCAGAACCAGATGGAGGCATTGGTGATTCTATCACACATTTAAAGAAAAATTAACATCAATTCTCAAACTCTTCCCCCAAAATGAAGAGGAGGCAACATGTAGTAACTCATTCTATGAAGCCAGCATCACCCTGATACTAAAGCCAGAAAAAGATACTATAAGGAAACTATAGGCCAATATGTTTTATGAATATTAATATAAAAATCTTCAACAAAGTACAAGAAGTTGAATTTAACAGCACATTAAAAGAATTATACATGACAACCCAGTGGAATTTACTCCTGGGAAGCAAGGATGGTTCAACATATAAAAATTAATCAATATGATAGAACACATTAACAAAATGAAGAAAAAATAGCCACACAGTCATCTTATACGTAGACAACCCTAAAGATTCCACACAAGAAACTGTTAGAACCAATAAATAAATTCAGAAAAGTAGCAGGTTACAAAATCAATACACAAAAATTAGTTGCTTTTCAATATGTTAACAATAAATCTGAAAGACAGTCAGGTAAACTGTTCCATTACAATAGCATCAAAAAGAATAAAATATTCAGGAATAAACTTAGCCAAACAGAGAAAAACATGTATACTGAAAACTACAAAACATTACTGAAAGAAATTAAGGTGGATACTAGAAAGTGAAAAGACATCTTGTGTTAATGTATTGGAAGGTTTTATATTGTTAAGATGCGCATTCTACCCAAAATGTTACAAATCAACGAAACCCCTTCAAAATCCCCATAATAATCCCAATCCAAATATATAATAATCCCAATAATGTATTGTTTTTGGAAAAATACATCATAAAATTAATAAAAAATCTGAAAGGACCCTGAATGGCCAAAATAATCTTGAAGATGAAAAAACCTGGAGAATGCATACTTCTTAATTTCAAAATTTATCAGTATTCTACAGTGATTGGTGTGGAACTATTAATAACATACAGACATATTAGATTAACGGAATGGAATAGAGGGCCCAAAAATAAATGCCAGCATAAATGGTCAAACGATTTTTAACAAGGGTGGCAAGACCATTTAATGGGGAAAAACAACAATCTTTCCAGCAAATAAAGTTAGGAAAACTGGATATCCACATGCAAAGGAATAAGCTGGACCCTTACCTTACACCATATACAAAACTGAACTCAAAGACCTAAAACGATAAAAGCTTTAGAAAACACAGGGGGAAAGTTTCATGATATTGAATTTGGCAATGATTTATTGGATATGATACAAAAAATACAATAAACAACAAAAATTGATAAATTAGAGTTCATTGAAATTAAAAACTTTTGTTCATTAAAGGATACTACTGATAAATAGAATGAAAAGGCAACCTACAAAATGGGAGAATGATATATCTGAAAAAGATTAATATCCAGATGTAAAAATTCCTATAACTCAACAACAAAAAACCTAAGAAGTTGGCCAAAAAGTATGCAAAGGACTTGAATATACATTTCTTCAAAGTAGAGAAATATTTGGTCAACAATTAAATAAAAAGATGCTCAATATCAGTAATCATTAGGGAAATGCAGATAAAAACTACAGTGAAGTATCACTTTATACCTACTAGACACCTATCATTAAGACAAAAAGAGGAATAAGGAAAATAAAACAGAAAATAACAAGTGTTGTCAAGGATGTGGAGAAACTGAACCCTTGCACATTCCTGGTGGGAATGTAAAATGGTACAGCCACTATGGAAAACAGAATGGGGGTTCTTTGAAAAATTAAACATAAAATTATCATATGATACAGCAATTCCAGTTCTGGGTATATACTCAGAAACAGCAAAAGCAGGAACAGGAACAGATAAATGTATACTCATGTCTATAGCAGTATTATTCACGATAGCCAAATAATGGAAGCAATGTCAGTATCCACTAACAGATGAATGGATAAACAGAATGCTGTATAAACATACAGTAGAATGTTATTCAGATGTAAAAGGAAAGGAAATTTTGACACATGTGGCTACAACATGGGTGAACTTCAAGACATTATACCAAATGAAATGACCTGGTAACAAAGACAAATACTATAAGATTCCACTTACATTTGGTACTAAGAAGTCAAATTAATAGGGATAGAAAATAGAATGGTGATAGAGGCCTGGAGGGAGGGAAAAATGGAGAGTAAAGTAATTATTTGATGGATATGGAATCTCAGTTCAGGAAGATGAAAATATTTTGGAGATGGGTGGTGGTAATGGGTGCACAACAATGCGAATGTACTTGCTGCTACTGGACTATACACTTAAAAATGGTAAATGTTATTATGTCCTGTATGTTGTAATGCAATTTAAAAAAATATATTTTTTTGTATTTAAAAGCAAGGTAGAGCAAAAGTACTATATGACAACAGCATGAATAAGAATGGAAAGTATTCAGAATTTGTGTTCTAAGATCTTATTAACATTTGGGTAGAGTTTACAGATATTAACTTTTGGAATTTATAAAGTACATATATTAAAATACTAAAAATAACAGAATTTGTGTTCTAAGATCTTATTAACATTTGGGTAGAGTTTACAGATATTAACTTTTGGAATTTATAAAGTACATATATTAAAATACTAAAAATAACCAATAAAAGAATTAAAATAAAATGAATGATGCCCAAATCTGCTAAAGAAACATTTTTAATAGACCATACTGTCATGACAGACTATACTATTTACAGTTAATATTTATGTCCTAGTAAAATACATGGGAAAAAATATACATTAACTTTAAGAAAGAAGAAAAGGGTAAAAATTTAGGGTGGGACTTTAACCTATACATCAAATACTATTCATTAAAAAATGTTCGTATTAAAAAATATCAATTGTGGGTATACAGGTATATGATTTTATATACTTTACATTTGAAATATCGTATAAATTTTAGAGATGAGACATACAAAATCTATGAAAAGTTATATTAGAAAGTATTATGTGCTTATTAATCTTCAGGAGTAAGGACAGTCTTCAAATTGGGAAGAAACTGGAATTAGTCACAAAAAACTGGAAATTAACTGAAACTCCCAAATATCCCCAAACTGTATAATTGAATTCAAAAGATAAAAAATCGGCTTAGAGAAAAGTCTCTTCAGCAGACAGACACAAACGTTAGCATATTTCTATAAAACAGCATATAATCTGATATGGAAATGCTGACAATACAAAAGATAAAGGAAATGAACAGGAAGAACTGAAGTAAGTCCTATCAAAATAGTATTTTTAAATCAACATTAAAACAAATTTATAATTTATTTAGCAAATAATTGCACATGTCCAAGTCAGTGAAGATGTAGTGAAAAAGAGCATTTATACACAGTTGGTATTTGCTAAATTTGGCACAACCCTTTAACATAGCAATTGCTATGTATTAAATAAATAAAAAATATCATACCCTTAATGTATTTATCCCATTTCTGAAATTTGTGCTAAGAAGTAATGCTGAAGGAAGAAAAGACATGTCGAGGGAAGTAGTCCTTGCAAATATAAGATTAATTTGAAGCTTCTAATTCCCTAAGAGGACAGTTACTTACTGTTGGATTTTGCAATCATTATTAATGACAGTCATGAAAACTGCATAGCAACCAGGGAAAAGTTGATGAGTTGTTAAATGACTACAGGATGGAAAAGAGGGGGAACGCAGGAACAGCACTGTGAGGGAAGGCAAAATCAGGGTCAAAACTAGGGTGAGGGAACTGAGACACTCCCTTAAGGGCCAAATTTGGAGTGGGCACCAAAAAACAAAAACAATAATCAAGTTAAAAAATATTTTTAAAAGGCAAAGCTAATGTGACATTTGTAATGGAAAAAGCTAAAGATTTCAAATACAAACAGGATCTCATCTTGATTTGCAGCACCCTGAGAGTGTTGCACTTGCTTTTCCCTAATCCAGACTGAAGGATCCTGTCTTTAATTTCTTAAACAATTTATCATTGATACTGATATTTTTGCAGTGATTTTTAACTTTTAAAAACCCGTTGCATTAAAATATCATTTTTAATTGGCGTCCCCTTAAAGTCTGCACTTCAGACCAGCGCCTCCATCGCCCTAGTCCCGACCTGGCGTAATATCATGGTAATAAGTATGTGTTACAGAGTCTGCGGTTTTTCTCTGTATAAACTTCACGTGTACTTTAAAATCCGAACTAACAGTGCCGTTCTCCGCGATCCTTCGGCCTCAGAGCAGTCGCCTCGACTTCTCGAGGCCAAGGGTGGGGGGGATGCTGTGGCAACGGTCGTGGGAGGTTCGAGAAACCGCCTTCTGGCCTCACCATGAAACGCAAGTTAGACCCTCGGGGTATGACGTTGCCCCGCAGCTCATTGTGGAGGTTCACGTACTCATTGATAAAGTCTACGTCCTCTTCGTGTGGCAACAAACTCGCGTTCAAACCAGAACCCAGTAGCAGTAGCCACAGCTCCCAGAGCCGCAGCTTCAAAACGGCCCCTACTGCCACGGGGAGGGACTGGGCGCTCCACTCCCCAGCGAAAGACCATCGGGCCTCCATGGTCCAACAGCCGCGGACAGGGCAGTGCGCACGCGCTGGCTGGTGCCCTGCCAATCTACGGGCACGCAGGCGAGACGAGCCCCGCCTCCCGGAAGGAGAAAGGGAGGAGGGAGGAGGGAGGAGGGGAATAAAAGGAGGCAAGAGGGAGGAGGAAGGGAGGAGGGGGAAGGGGAAAGGTCTGTAGGCGGGACACAGATCCAGCTTTCAAGCAGCTTACAATTTAGTGAGTTAGCAATCAGGCAGCATTTATAACATGTGATAATAGAAAGCCAAAATACTATTGCGTCGTATGAGGGATGATTAGTCCTCTTATGGAGGACGAGGGAAGCCTTTCTGGAAAATGTATACAGAAAGTGAAACAGACAGGTATAAGATGGCATTCTAAGCAAAGGGAGAAGCATATAATGTGCTTAAGGAGAGGCTAGAACCTATTTAAGGGTGAAGGTGGCAAGTGCTGAAAGGTGCAATTCCTTTATTATGGAGGTACTGTTGTTAGACTACGAAAAATGCTAAAGAAAAAGTATAAATAGAATAATGCAATCTTAGATTTGGAAGAAATTTTAGCCACTGTTGGTAGCCTCATGCCTTAGACATACTCTCTGAAACATCACTGACAGGTGATCCTTACATTCTTGTCTTAAATAATTACATCAACAGGGAAGTCACCATCTTCTGGGCAGCTCATTCCACTGCTAGACATCTCATTCAATAAATATTTCCTTAGTACCTCCTGTGTGTCACAGCCCAGCTAGATCTTCAAATGCTGAACAAGCTAGACGTAGACTATCCACAGGAAGCTTTTAGTTAAAGATGATATAGATGAATCATCAGTTACAATACAGAGAGGTAAATACTATTTTTAATTTATTTCACAAATATTTAATGTGTCAGGAAATGCTTGGAGAATATCAACTCACTCAAATCATAAAAGTCTCAAGAAATTGTTACCATTATCTGTTTAACAGATGGAAAATTGGAGAAAAAGAGAAATCAAATTGTCTGAAGCCACCCAGCCAGTGAGTGGCAGAGCTACTTTTTTTTTTTTAACCAATTTCTTTTTCTAAAAATAAACTCTATTTTTTTATAGCAGTTTTAGGTTCACAGTAAAACTCAGAGGAAGATACAGAGATTTCTCATGTACCTCCTGCCCCAACACATAGATCACCTCCCTCTATCAACATCCCACACCAGAATGGTACATTTACAATTGATGAACCTGCATTTATACATTATCCCCACCCAGTGTACATAGTACATATATAATTTCTTTTCTTTATAAACTACCCAGTTTCAGGTATTTTCTTATGAGCAACACTAAACAGACTATGACAGTAAGAGTGATGTTGAGTTTTTTAAGCAACCAATAAACTGTATTTCAAAGCGGCTGTGCCATTTTGCATTCCCACCAGCAATGCATGAGCACCTGTGTTCCTCCACATCCTTGCCAGCATTTGGTGTTGCCAGTGTTCTGGATTTTGGCCATTCTAATAGGTGTGTAGTGGTATTTCATTGATGTCTTAATGTGCATTTTCCTGATGACATATGATGTACCTTTTCATATGCTTATTTGAGTACTGTATATCTTCTTTGGTGAGGTGTCCGTTAAGGTCTTTGACCCGTTTTTAAATTAAGCTGTTTGTTTTTTGATTGTTTAGTTTAAAGAGTCTTGGCATATTTTGGGTAATAGTTTTTATTGCATATGTCTTCTGTAGGTATTTTTCTCCCAGGCTGTGGCTTGTCTTTTCATTCTCTTGAGAATGTCTTTTGCTGAGTAGAAATTTTTAGTTTTAATGACACCCAGCTAATCAGTTTGTTCTTTCATAAATCATACCTTTTGCATTATATCAAAAAGGCTATTGCCAAATTCAAGATCATCTAGATTTTCTCCCATATAATCTTCTAGGAGTTTATGCTTTTGCATTTACATTTAAGTCTGTGATCCATTTTGATTAATTTTTTGTGAAGAGTGTAAAATTTGTGCTTAGATTGATTTTTTTCTTGTATAGGGACATTCAGTTGTTCCAGAACCATTTGTTGAAAGACTATATTTCCTCCATTATATTGCCTTTGCTCCTTTGTCAAAGATCAGTTGACTTTGTTCTGTTCTATTTCTGAGCTCTCTATTTAGTGTTCCATGGATTTATTTATTTCTACTTTCACCAATGCTATACTGTTTTAATTACTATATTTTTGCTATTGTTTGAATGTATCTCCCTAAATTTATGTGTTGGAAAATTAATCACCAATACAACGGCACTGAGAGGTGGGATTGTTAAGAGGTGATTAGGTCATGAAAGCTCTGTCCTCAAAAATGAATTAAAGCCATTATCACAGGATTGGTAAGATATTGAGGAAGTGGGTTCCTGATGAAAAAATGAATTCAACTCCCTTGTTTCGCACATGTGTATGCACTCTCTTACTCTGGAACTTCTGCCATCAGATGACACAGTGAACAAGTCCTATTGGATGTAAGCTCCTCAACCTTGAACTTCCCAGCCTTCAGAATTGTAAGAAATTAATCTTTGTTTTTTCTAAATTACTAAATATCAGGTATTCTCTGATAGCAGCACAAAATAGACTCCTACGTGTACCCTTATAGTAAGATTTAATGTCAGGTAGTGTTAGTCCTACAGCCTTGTTTTTCTCATTCAATGTTGTATTGGCTATTCTGGGTTTTTCTGCCTCTTCATATAAATTTTAGAATCATTTTGTCAATATCCACAAATTAACTTGCTAAAATTTTGATTGTGATTACATTAAATCTATAGATCAAATTGGGAATTACTGATATTCTAACAATATTTAGTATTTCTATTTATGAACAAGGAATGTTTCTTCATTTGTTTAGTTATTTGATTTATTTTACCATACTTTTGTGGTTTTTCTTGTATAGTTCTTGTAAATATTTTGTTAGATTTATGACTAAGTATTTGTGTGTGCTAAACACTATTATATTTTCAATTTTAAATTCTACTTGTTCATGGCTAGTATATAGGAAAGTAATTTAAGGTAATTGACTTTTCTATAATTAACCTTGTATTCTACAACTTTGCCAAAATCACTGAATAGTTTCAGAAGTTTGTTGATTCTTTGGATTTTGCACATAAATAATTATGTCATCGGCAAAGAAAGACAATTTTCTTTCTTTCTTCTCAATCTATAAACCTTTTATTTACATTAGCAAGCACTTCCAGTATGGAAGTTGAAAAACAGTGATAATAGGGGACATCTTTGTCTTGTTCTTGATCTTAGTGAGGAAGCTTCATGTTTCTCATAACTAAATATGTAGTTAGCTGTAGCTTTTTTCGTAAATATTGACATCTTTATCAATATCTCAAGGAAGTTCCCTACTATTCCTAGTTTACTGAGAATTTTTATCATGAGTTCATATTGGATTTTGTCCAATGCTTTTTCTACATCTATTGATATAATCATATGCTTTTTCCTCTTTAGCCTTTTGATGTGATTTATGACATCAATTGATTTGCAAATTGAACCAAGCTTATATACCTGTGTCTTAGTTTATTTTCTGATGCTTATCACTGAATAATTGAAACTGGGTAATTTATAAAGAAAAATAATTTGTTTCTTACAGCTATGGAGGTTGAGAACATAAGGTTGAGGGTCTGCTTTTGGTGAAATACTTTCTTGCTGTTGAGAACTCTCTGCAAAGTCCTGAGGCAGTGCAGAGCATCATATGGCAAGAAAGTTGGGCATACTAGCTCTGTTCTCTCTTTCACTTTTTAGAAAGCCCTAAGTCTTACTCCTGTGATAACCCATTTATTCAATGATCAATGAATGGAGTGGTTCATTCATGAGGGCGGAGCCCTCATAACCCAATTATCTTTTTAAAGACCTAACTTTTAATAATGCCTCAATGGGAATTAAATCTTAAATGAGTTTTGGAGGGTACAAATATTCAAATCAAAGCAATCTGGAATAAATTTCACTCAATTATGTTGTATAATTATTTTTATACATTGTTGAATTCAATTTGCTTAGTGTCCTGTTAGGAAATTTTGCATCTACATTCATGAGAGATATGAGTCTATAGTTATTTTTTTTCTTGTAATGTCTTTGCAGGATTTTCGTATTAGGGTAATGCTGGCCTCATACAATGAGTTAAGAAGTATTCTCTTTGCTTCTATCCTCTGAAAGACATTATAGAGAATTGATAATGTCTTTCTTTAAACTTTTGATAGACTTCACCAGTGATTTCATCTGGGCCCGGTGCTTTCTGTTTCAAAAGATTATTAGTTATCAATTAAATTTCTTATAGGCCTCTTCAGATTGTCTATTTCTTCTGTATGAGTTGTGGGAGATATGTCTTTCAAGGAATTGGCCCATTTCATCTAGATTATTAAGTTTGTGGGTGTAGAGTTGTTCATAGTACAGTAGTGCTCAGTTATCCTTTTAATGTTCATAAGATCCGTAGTGATGTTCCTTCCTTCATCTCTGATATTAATAATTTATGTCTTTTTTCTTTATCTGTTAGCTTGGCTAGAAGCGTGTCAATCTTATTTATGCCTTAAAATAACCAGCTTTTGGTTTTATTAATTTCTCTATTAATTTTGTTTTCAATTTTATTGATTTCTGCTCAAATTTTTATTATTTCTCTTCTGCTTACTTTGGATTTAATTTGCTCTTTTTTTTCTAGTTTCTTACAATGGAAATATAAACAATTTTAGATCTTATTTTCTAATATATTTATTCAGTGCTATAAATTTACCTCTAAGCAATGCTTTGGTTCATCCCACAAATTTTGCTAGGATGTTTTCATTTTCATTTATTTAAAAATATTTAAAAATTTATTTTGAGATTTTTTCCTTTGGACCCTGTGTTGCTTAGAAGTGTGCTGTTTTATTTCTTATTTTGGCATTTTATGGTTAGTTTTCTCTTATTGATTTCTAGTTCAATTACTAGTGGTCTGAGAGCAGGCATTACATAATTTGTATTCTAAATTTGTTAAGGTGTGCTTTATGGTCTGGAATATAGCTTATCTTGGTAAATGTTTCATATGAGCTTGGGAATATGTA